AAAAAAAAAAAATAAAAAATTTTTTGAGCGGAAAAAAAAAAACACTTTTTTTTTTTTTTTTTTTTTTTTTTTTTTTTAGACGGGGTGTCCAATTATGCTTAAAGTCTTTAAAAGTTGTTTTTTTTAATCAACGTATCTAAAAGTAAGGTTTTAAATTTAATTTTCAAAGTAAGTTGTCCTTTATGTTCATCACAGGTCTTAAAGTTTGTCTTGACGGAATTATTTTATCTTGTACATTGTATTTTTTTCCCCTCTTTTTGACTTTTCAGTCATTCAAAAGTTTGAGTAGCACTCGGTCAAACTTTGTGCTTCTTTGCGTTTGTGCTCTATTGGGCAAACTCCCAATAAAACACATTGAAGTTTCTGTCTTTAATGTGTTTCCGGGGCTGTAGGAAGTCCTCGCTGTATTTCCTGTTATTTTCAAAAGACACATCTGCTCAGTGTTTCTGCAGATTATGCAGGAATCGTGAAAAACCTCAAAGCATTGGATTCCCTTTGCATCATGTGCTGCTCCTGTCCTCTGCAGCTCTGTGGTGTGATGGTGTCGGCCAGCGAGGACTCCACTCCCTCCATCATCTATCACTGCGTTCTGCGCGGACTGGAGCGCCTCCTGCTGTCGGAGCAGCTGTCTCGCGTCGACGGAGAAGCTTTGGTCAAGCTCAGCGTGGATCGCGTCAACATGTCGTCGCCTCACCGAGCCATGGCCGCCCTGGGCCTCATGCTCACCTGCATGTACACCGGTAAGCCGTGCTTTGACGTGACCGCCAACCTGAACACTTCATCTGCTGTGAGCTGATGCCACCAGTTTCATTCTCTGCATTCGCTCTTATTTCAACTCCATCTAATAACATGCATGTCCCTCCACTGCTCCTAATGCACGTGACTTTCCATTACAGTCTAATTACGAGCTGAACATATGAACATAGAGAGCAGAAATCCAGCATGGGAATAAAACGCTTCACTGAGGTTGCCCTCTTTGTAGCTCCAGATGTTCTTGCAGATAAAAGAGCTCATGGTGAAGCGGCTGCTGGAGAATTTCTTTTCATTAGGTAATTAAAAACACAGAGATCATTTTCAAGCTATTGTTGAACTATAAAATATATTCATAATACTGTATTTTCAGCCAAGCTTTGCAAATTAGTTCAGTTGACAGATGTTGAAGTTTATGAGCCTGGGAATAAATCCAGCATTAGCTGCTTTAGGGTTGCAAATATTGAGGAAACACCTGTGATTTATTTATTTATTGTACTTGGCTAGTTCATAAATCTGCTCCAGTCCATCTGCCACCACTTCTACCATCCGTCTCTGCATGTTTTCACCATTGTCTTTCTATGTTTATCTCTGTATAAAAGATCTTGAATAATCTCAACCAGTAGTAGTTATCATCAGTAATCACATATTTTTTACCTGCTTGCTTCCTGCATGTATTAGCGAATGTAAAAAGTATGTCTGACCTCTAACCCCTGCAGTAACCCCTACTAACCATAGAATTCTTTTTAATGGGTGCTAATGGCACAAATATTTCTCCTTTGCTCAACGCAAATTCGCAGATTCTGAGATTACGTTCTCGCTTTTGCGTACGCAGACTTAATTTTTGCATAAATCCTTTGTGCTTTGCGGTATCTTGTAAAAGTATTCATATTCATACCCACTAACTTTTTTTTGTACATTTTGTAACATGAAAACCACTAATTGTATATATTTTATTGGGATTTTATGTGATAGTCCAACACAGGAAATAATTAATGTTTCTTAAAATCTGATATTTTGGCTATTTTGGTGATCAGACTTCTTTAATACCCCTAATAAAAACCCAGTGGAAGCAATCTCCTTAAAAATTCACTTAACAACTAAAAACCTGTGTGTAAATTACGCCGAGAGATGCCAGCTAAGGAGAACATTGTTAACAGAAATAGCATGTAGAGGACAGCAAATTGTGTAGAACAAAGTTGAACTGTTTGGCTTACATTCAAAAAGCTTTATGTGGTCATAAAAATACCACTGAATCACCCTGAAAATACCATATCCACTTTGAAGGACAACAACCCTAAACAAGCAGAGCTGTGGAGGAAGGGTTTGAGCTCAGTTCTTAGATAGAAAGTCCCTGTTAAAGCCCAGATATAGATCCAGTGGACTTTATATAAATCCATAACCAGGAAACTGATAATCACAGACTGATACTCTCCAATCTGACTGAACTGTTGCCATTTTTGAGGAGAAAAATGAACAAAACATTTCTTAAACTCTGTCTGGTAAAACTCACCTGTTATTCTTCAGGTGGTGCAAAGTTTTGCTTTGGGGGAACCGAAATACTTTAAGATTTGTATTTGTGGAAGAATAAATAAAACGATGCATCCTTTACGATCCACTTCTCAATAATGCACTCTTAAAAGGGCTATCACGTAACATCTGAATAAAATACACTGACATTATTTGTGGTTATAATGTCACAAAATGTTGAAGTGGTAGTAAATACTTTTGCAAGTACGTTTTTTGTCGTATCTTATGAGCAAAACAGTTTCTGACTAGTCTCTTACTGAAACTCTCTAATTTTAACACTCCCAGAAACTCCGTTTTTTTTTTTTTTTTTTTTTTCTCTTTTGGTTGTTGATGTTCAACATTCGTGTGATGACGGTTGCAAGCCCCACTCTAACTTTTCCCCCCCTCCCGGTTTCAACCGGCGCCACCCATCCCTCTCGCCCTCTCAGCGGTGCTCGCGTCCTGTTCAGATGCGACAGGGGTTAGAGGTCAGGTTGACTCTGTTGCGGAGGCCGTTGGCGTCACGGCGGGTCATGTTGGTTTCTCCTCAGGCAAGGAGAAAGCCAGCCCTGCCAGCCGCCCTGCCCACTCTGACCCGCAGGCCCCGGACAGCGAGTCGGTCATTGTCGCCATGGAGAGGGTCTCCGTGCTCTTTGACAGGTAAAGCTTTTTTCATTTTCCGATTGCCGTATAGCACATACGCAGCATTTGTTAAAATAAAAGTAAGTAGAAAGTAAATATCCAATAGTTGGACATCATGTCCAGAGGACGCCTGTTAGTTTTTAATATTTCGTCCATCTGTCTCCCGTTCCCGCAGGATCAGGAAGGGTTTGCCCAGCGAGGCTCGGGTCGTGTCGAGGATTCTGCCCCAGTTTCTGGACGACTTCTTCCCTCCGCAGGACGTCATGAACAAAGTCATTGGCGAGTTCCTGTCCAATCAGCAGCCGTACCCACAGTTCATGGCCACTGTTGTCTACAAGGTCAGCAACGAGGCAAAGGAATAAAATCAAACCCATCGTGTTCTTTTCTAGAGCTGGATTAATAAAAAGGGTCTTTCGCGATTAATATTTCTTTAAATCCACTTTAAAGAAAGTAATTTCTTTAACGCGCATTAAAAAAAGGAAATCCTATCTTGTTGTTGGACTCCTCCTCCTCCCATCGGTACATTTTCTTGGTTCACTCTCTCATCTGTTTTTTCCCGTCTCCACTGTGACGCTGCCCAGGTTTTCCAGACGCTCCACGCCACTGGCCAGTCTTCCATGGTGCGCGACTGGGTGCTGCTGTCTTTGTCCAACTTCACTCAGAGGACACCGGTAGCCATGGCCATGTGGAGCCTGTCCTGCTTCTTTGTCTCCGCTTCCACCTCCCAGTGGATCTCTGCCCTGTATCCTTACATGACGTGGGGTAGAGCTAATGAACAAGACGGTGATTATTTTTTCCATTTCGTCCTGGGGGATTATTACAGCCCACTGCTGGAATATTCTGACTATTTTTTTATAATCAGTTTTTACATCATCAACCATCTTGTCTCAAAACAGATGGAGAGGAAGACTGGCTCACCATTAGAGATCAAAGCTCCTTAAAACATGAAAGGAGAAGAGTAAATTTCGGGTCCAGTCAATCAATTCAAACTCATCCTCTTAGGCTTTTTCTGGATATTTCATATCGCAACTGGACTCTGGTCTCTGATTGCTGTTCGGTTTCTTTGGTGTTGATCAAATAACCTACAAGATTCTGTGAAATTCTGTTTAAAATATAATCACTCTTAAAGTATTTGAAAGTATTTTTCCATCTTAGTTCTTGCATTTTTTTTTTTTTCACTTAAGAAATTCTCTGGCAGAAATAGTTTGTTCTACTATAAATTGTTTTATGAGTCTGTGGCAAAATTACAATTTCCACAATGCAGAGCAGCAAAGAGCCCTGGCAAAAAGGATTTGTTGCTTGATATTGAGCCTTTCAAGCAAAACAACAAAAATAAATTTGCTGTCTTGTTATTTTGTTTAAGGAAATCGAAACCTTATCTTTTACCTCATCCACTTTCAGCATCTTTAGGAGATTCTGTGAAATTCAGTCATTGGTGGAAAACATTGTTGCATGATTTTCACTGCATCGTCACAAGAGATGATAAACCGTTGAGTCAGAAGAGGAGCATTAAAGAGCGATGGGTAGTGTTCCTGTGGTCTTAAAATCGTAACAAGCAATTTTTTTTTCTTATTTCAGCATGCTGACCAGCAGTATGCAGCAGCAGCAGCAGGCTGACGGAGGGTTATTCAGCACTTCCCTGCTTCATACAGCCGTGAAACAATCCAGTTTCTCTCGTCATCGAGAAGGACTGGACGGCGATTTTCGGTCTCCGTAACTGGCCAGTACAGTCGCTGTCATGACGCTCATCTTGTATCAAAATTAACAATTTCCTCAAACCACACGAGTTCTTCATTCAGTCAGTAATTTGTTGATTTCATTACTAGGGAAAAGGTTAGTTTAGGAGCGTAACGTCCTACTGGGATACTCGCCACCTCCTAACCGTGTTAAGAGCTAAACAACAGTCTCCCAGATTTCTATTTTAAGCAGCTCGGTCTGAACCCTCTGCCGTTCAAATGTTGCGATTTGTCGTCCTTAACTTCCTGCTCCGTTAACCAGACTTCCACATGTGATCAGCCGGATGGGGTCCAGTGAGACGGTGGACGTCAACCTGTTCTGCCTGGTCGCCATGGACTTCTATCGGCACCAGATCGACGAGGAGCTGGACCGCCGGGCCTTTCAGTCGGTGTTCGAGACGGTGGCGTCGCCGGGGAGCCCCTACCACCAGCTGCTGGCCTGTCTGCAGTCCATCCACCAGGAAGCGTCACTCTGAAGGGCAGCACGCCCAGGCAGACATGCAGACAGTCAGGCTCAGAGAGAAAGTGAATTAGAGAGATGAGTAATTGAATCTGCATGTTCGGCTCCCTGATAAATTGTGGTGGTGGGAAAGAACAGGATGTTTATCCAACCTGAGCTACTGAAGCCTCATTTCTCCCTCTCTATCTATCCATCTTTCTCTCTCTCTTTCTCTCCCCGCTTCCACCTTTGAAAAATGTAAACCGCTGAACCCACGAGTGCGAGCTCGGTGGCGTTCTGGAGCGTCAAAATGAAGAATGAGACGTTAGGTCTGTGAAACGTACACGAGGCTGAATTCTGGAAGAGGAAGCCCCTGACTTAGATGTGAAGGACGAGGGTTGAAGCTCTGGCAGATTCCTCCCCACACAGCAGCACCTTTTTCTTTAAAAACAAACAGAAGATAATGTAAATCAAATACAAGACGGCTTTATTTCTTTGCTCTTAGGACTTGCTTAAGTATTGTGATGTCAGTAAAGTTAAATAGAGACAAAGTATTTGCTATATTTAAAGTTTCAACTCATCTATTTTTCAGTGAATTTTGTTAAAAAATGCTTAGTTGGGACTTTAAACATGAGGCTGACACACAAGGGTCAGAGACGCCTGCTCAATGTTGTTGAAAATTCTATATTTAAGTTGTGTGTTTGTGTTTATTCAGACATGCAGAAGGCAAAAAGATAACTGGTTTCTATGTAAGAATGCTAATCATTATGTCCTGCCCTCTTTCTGTCGAAGCGGGGAACTCGAGACGAACTTCTTACCGCAGGAAGTGTAACTTATTTCAGCAAGACGCCACACCTACTCTGGATGGTTCACATAGAGTCAAAAAGTTAAACGGGTAAATGCCGGGCATAATTTAAGGTCGGGTTTTGTGAAAGTTTAATCATTTTAACAGTTTAAATCCCCCCCAATTTACATCGTCAACCTGTTCTGTGAGAAAAATACCAAAATCTTTTCTTGCCTTTTTTTTTTTTTTTTTAATCCAGTGCAGGTGGGTGTAAAGAGTTTCTTCTTATGATTTTATGAATTCACTAAAATCTATCTACTTTTTTTTTTATATATTAGCTGCAGATCTGAATGATTCCACCTGTCCATTACTTCTACATTTTTAAGTCTCAGGATGTTGGATGTGACTTTATTGTTATTGTCATTAAACTGGAGGTAGTTTCCAGTCTTACGTGGAGCTACCTTCTTATTCTGTAAAAAAAAGAAAAGAGAAAAAAAAAAGATATATATGTAAAAAAAAAAATCAACTGTACAGTAATCTGAAAGCCATGGTGCATGATAAAAAAAATAAGAACTATGTAAAGATGTGAGTGTCCACACTGTCAACACAGCACACAAGATATAATGTAAAAGTCAGTGAATGCAGAAAACATACAAGCTTATTAAAGACTTCAAGCTGCCTGTGACTGTGTTCTGTAGATACACTTGCCTAGACGATACTCGGCGTGTCCTGTACACCGACTGCATGCTAGCGTTACTGCCGTGTTTAATGTTGTTCCTGTGGGAACCGCTGAGTGGAAGAGGATGCAATGCAATCCGAACGGGACCTTGGAGACCAACGGCAGCTTCAACAAATCAAAAGAAAAGTGTAGCAATGCCACATAAACACAGTTTTTCTTTATTTTTTCAAGCTTCAAATATTTTGTCTCTGATATAAATAATACACCAATATCAACCACACTTGACACTTGCGGTAAAAACTTGAAGTTGTGTACATGTTCAGTGCTTTTTTTTTTTTTTTTTTTTTTTTTTTTTTTTTTTTTTCCCTTTTCCCCCCTTTTGCATTTTAAAAAAGATCCTACG